GGAATGTTTTGATTGGAGACCAATTGATTGATTGTATGTATGTTTGTAGTTTTATGTCCCATTCAAGAATGCTTCACTCATATAGGGAGGTAACCATAATATCGGTAAGGGACTTAACTCAGCACTTACAGTCACTGAGCGGTGAAGGACCTTGATCGTGCCAACGCCTGCCCTGACACAGGGCCACGATTTTTATGGTTTATGATCCCATCCAAAGGACTCGCAACTTTCACTTCAGAGTGCCGAGTGCATGTCGAAGGAACAGCTCCTACAATTTTATCGACTTAGGTCAGCCGCGGCCGAGATTCAACTTATGACTTCCAATCACGAAGTAAGCGCTCTGCCTACTTGTACATGTACCGTGAACAGTTGTGAGGTATTGAAGTCAAAATACGAAAATTGTATAGTGCAAACTTTTTATTTTTCAAAAATAGTCGTTGAATGACAAAATAGGTGGCGGGTAAACAAAAAAAGGAAAACAAATATATAAATTTAATTTTGGAGAATATTTTCAGATATTAGGAACAAGAACTTCTGAGCTGCATAATTTTCAAAAAGTGTCTAAGTTAATGTAAAATAGGAATTTGATTCATTTTTTAAAATAATTATTGTAGCAACCACCAAGAAAGCTGGGGCTTAGATGATTTATGAGACAATGTTTCCTCCATCAGCTGGATTCATATGTACTCAGAGAAATGCAGTTTTCAAATGAAACTTTGTTGTATACTTATTTCCAATACTAAAACATCTTATTTTGTCTCCTACACAGTTTTAAATACAAGAACTCAAAAGGATTATAAAATTCTGACTTCGAATATTATTCTATAAATTCTGCAAGTAGATCATAATTTTTATTAAAATTTCTCAAGTATTATAATGAAGAACAATAGCAATCATGAATCTGTTCTGTAGCCATGATTTGTGTATTGCCATTATAAGGATTAAGGCTCTAAGACTAATATTCACTATTCATTTTTCAGACATAAAGGTCATCACGGTAACCCAGAAGTCTGTTCAGCAGAACAAACGTTCGCAGGCGCGTGCGAACATTTCTGTTGGAAGTATAAAGTATTTTTGAGAGCGCTCGTGAATGTTTGCTCTGCTGATCAGGCCTCTGCAGATCTATCATTCACGACAGTTAAACACATCATTTATGTTAAGGTCATAAGCAACGTAGTTTGAATATGATTGGCCATGGGTTTTTCCCTGGAGTTGAAGAGTTCGACTAAATGAAGGAACTATGTGCAATACTTTTAATGTCTATATATATATGGATTTGTACACCTCTTCTAAAACGAATTTTGATGGGGAAAAAAATCTGGAATTTACGTCTTGTAATGTTTATAAATTTTTCTTTGAATATTGCAAAAATTTTCATAATTTGATATCTTCCAAAAACTTCTGGTAATGCATCCTGCTTTTTTTGTCTAAGAACATCTGATGGCACTATAATCTTAAATTAAGAATATCTTGAAAAGTTATCAGTAGGTACGGTATGTCGTTAAAGTATGAACTTAATCAATTTTATACATATATTCAATATTGCATACAATATATACATTTAATACTGTAAGTACATTAATCTTAATTGGAATTCGGTATAATACATAAACATGATAAACAAATAAATATTGCCACCAACGCCACAGTATGGTCGCAAATATGTATTTGAAAAATACTACTATGCATTACATAATTAGTAATTTGACAGGCACTTGTAAACAAGTGTGTTTGTAGCAACTTTTATATGTAACAAAGAGAACTAATAAAAACTCCTTTAAAACTTCCAACACGTACTGTCCTATAAAAGAAGGATTTCAAACCATGGAAAGCCAAAGAGTTCAAAATTCCACCTCTGTAATTTTCAAAAGGTAAACATGTAAACCTGAATTTGTAAATTGTAAATCTTAATTGCATAATCCTTCGATTGTTCTTTCACAATTTTTTTTTGTTTGAACTATATACATCCAAGCGTAATTTGACAAGCATAAAATGTGAAATGCAAGTTTTGTCTTTCCTCTCGCAAAATTTGTAGACTCACGATTTGTCGACTTGTGAAATGTTAATTGTACTTTCGTGATTTGTAAATTATGCAAGGTTGCATTATGCTAACACCTATTATTAAGACGAAAAGAGGCTCTATACCGGTGGCAGGTTAATTCGTTGCTGAACAATTTAATCATTTCCCCAATACGTCCAGCAATCCACCAAACCTGAGGATCATTGACTCGACTGGCCCAGGATAGGCAAGAGTGTGGAAGGTTCGTTGCTGCCCTACACAAAACATGGTTTAAAGGACACCTATGATGATGAATACGTCCTACTAGGCAAAAATATAAAGAAAGCCGGATGAAACTTTTATAAATTAATTTAATGACTAAAAAAGAAATGAAGGCACAGCCTAATAAAAAATAGACGAAATATACGGATCAGACACAAATTATGAACTTTTTCTTCCAGTGACCTTGAACTTTCCAAAATGACCTTGGGTCATGGTCATGACACATCCTAAGGTCATAAGCAATCTTTGTGTGAAATGAAAACCTTCCAAATTTAACCATAAGAATGATATTAACCAGACTTGAATAATGAAATTTTTCTTCCAGTGACCTTGAACTTTCCCATATGACCTTTGGTCAAGGTCATAACACACCCTTAGGTCATGGGCAATCTTTGTGTGGAGTAGTAGTTTCTAATGTTCCTCCGTAAGAAAGATATTGACCGGACACTTTTGCACAGACAAACAGACAGACAGACAGATGGGCAAACTGATTGCTATATGCCCTCCAAACTTTGTTTGAGGGGAATGTAAAAGCTTGGGTTCTATTCCCTCGGAACCTCTCGTGCGTGGATTTAGAGGGAGGCTTTGGATCCCCCCTCCCCCAGAATGAACAGAGTTATTAAATGTATATATTGAAGGCTGGAGCACATAGGAAATTACTTTGGACCCACACCAACCCACACACACCCTCACACATACACACAACAATAAGTTATTTTATTGCTTGTCTAAGAAATGTTGGTTTGAAATATATTTTGACAGGGGTGCACCTTAATTGCACCATTTAAAAAAAATATCCCGAGATCCGCATCTGCCGTAATATATTCAGAGAGCTAATCCCTCTGTGATCCCCATTCTTTTGAAATCTTAACTTAATTAAATCTAATTTGTAAACAGCTAAAGAGGTAGAAGGCATTCTGTGCATGCATATTACAAAACTCAGTTGGTTAAGAATCTTTTTTAGCTTAGGGGCGAAATGACTTGCAACCTTTATAGCGCCGCCTTTCATCTAAATACGCAACCTTGCATAATTACAATCACGAATGTACATTTCATAAGTTGACAAATCACAAGTCACGAATTACACGTGATCATTGATATTACTTGAGTGTATTTACATTTTTACCATTTTCAAATTCTGCTGGAAAATTTACAATTAATAAATTGTGAAAGAATAATTCACAAATTATTAAACTAAGATATACAATTTACAAATTCTGGTTTACATGTGTACATCTTAGGAAATACAGAGTTGGAATTTTGAACCCGTTGGCTTTCCATACAAAAGTTTGTACTTGTAGATTTTACAAAATCATTGCAATGATATTTTTTTCTTCATCTAAAATGCAAGATATTTACAATAAAAAAAACATACACAAGTTATATTTATGTACAAATGCACCATTGGAGAGAAATACAAACAAATTTTAAACAATCAATTAGGGGAATAATGAACAAAATGCACCGAGCTGGCATGCTCACTATCATTATTCCCTTAATTCATGGGAGGGGTGTTCAATATTTTTTGTCCCAACCATATATATTAGAGCAACAAAAACAAAATGAAAGCTTAAATTATATATTGCATTCCTTCAAGGTAATGTCCGTTATTTTTAATACAGAGTTGAAGTCATTTAATCTAGTCAAAAACAATTTTTTTTTGTAAGTGCTTTGTGGTATAACCCTTAAATACTGAAAAATGGCTGATCCCAGTGCTTATCCCGATTGAAAACGCCTTCCATAGAGAGCTTCCTTTACTTTTGGAAAAGAGAAAAGTCACAAGGAGAAAGATCAGGTGAATATGCAAGAGGCGGAAGCTCGATAACTTTGTGACGCTCTAGGTAGTCTCGAGTAACTTTTGCTCTATGGGCTGTAGCATAGTCATGCAGAAGTGTAATTCCTCTCAATCCTGTATTTGGCGGTATTTTTGTACAATTTTTATAGTCTAGGAAGTGTGCAATACATTTTTCCGTGACACCTCTGCCATGTGGGACAGCATATTGTAATACCAAACCATTTGAGATGAAACATATTGCACATGAAGCTTTCTTTGAAGTCTGGGTTCTTTTTGCAATTTAAGCGTCTTAATTCATTTTCTTTCCAATCCAGACCTGGTTTTTAACTTTTCTTTTTGCCTGGAAAAAGTTGATCCACGTTTCGTCACCTGTGACAATCTTACTAAGCTTCCTAGTGTCCATATCTGTAAACATTTTCCGAAGTTTTTGTCATTTTTGTAAACGATTCTTCTTTTGAGTTTTGGTAAGTATAAGGGGAATCCATCTTGCGCAAATCTTAAGGCACTTTAATTTAGATTTTAAATTGGTAAAAATACTACCCGTTGAAATTACTACACATCTTGCTATTTCCTTGACTGTAAGTCGCGCTTTTTTCTTAAGAATATTACGGATTTGGAAGCATTTCTTTTGGTTACTTCTCTTGGTTGTCTTCCTGAATGTTTGTCGTCTAAAACATCTGTTCTACCATTCTTAAACTTGCTAACCCATTTGTAAACTGTCTTTTTTAAAAGAACAGATCCACCATATATCCGAACAATTTATTCATATATTTCATTTCATTCTAAACCAAATGACACAACGAGCAAGAATATAGCTTCTTATTTTAGGTGACTCAACACTTCGTGTTTAACCCATGATGGATGTCCAGTGTATTTGGGTTGGCCAGCTCCAATTGCAAGTCTGTGATTTAGAGTGCACGGACTTGTTCAAAATTTTGACACAAACTCAGTAAAGGATATATTTGTTCATGGACGTCAAAATTCTTTATCGAGTGATCTTATTTGTAATGAAAAACATCAGGGACCAAAAATATTGAATGCCTCTCGTACATATTAAATTCTGAAAATTTTATGACTTTTTTCCGCCAATTAAGATAAAATGAAGAATAATCAAAACAGTTACAAATAACGACATGTATTTATACCTTAAAAACTGTAAGTTGATGTACCAAAATATTGTTTATTCGTGAGAACATTATTTTCACGTAATTACCTGAGACAGTTTTCTCGCAAAAATTTTATTCTCGCGTATAATAGCATTCCTTAACATTATTTAGAGCATAACCGCAATTCGTGAAAAATTTGTCTCTATAATCAAGAGTCTATGATGATCTTGCGAAAATAAGGTGTCTCAAAAATTAAGTGATCTACGTTATACATGTATCAAAATTTGACCTCATCATTCTCTTAAACAGTTTAGGAATAACCTTCATTAATTTTTAAAGTAAAAGATCTTTTTTTGTATTTTACAGGCACAATTAAATTCTAAATCATTTGAATCATTACAAATTCAAAGTTAGTGATTCTCCCATGAAACCACTTATTGTTCTAAATATTGCAATTAGGAAGGAAATCTCAGTTCTGAAAATCAGATTCCTTGAAAAATAATATTCCAAATATTCAAATTTATTTGTGAATTCAGCTTTAAAGCTGAAAATTATTATAAAGCATTCCAAACGGCAATCTATGATCTCCTAATTAGTAGAACCTTCTTTAGGCTTGAGCAGTTCTTCAAATTCGAGAACATTGGATTTCATTTTCTCCAAGATTTCCTGCATTTTAACATTCTTTATAATAGCATCCTCATCTTCCCTTCTCAAGGTCAGCTTTTTAATTTCATTAAGGTTATCTGAGTATTTCTTTCCAGTAAAAGTCTCCAATCTCTGACAGATATCTGACATCGACGACCAAGTGTCATCAAATTCTGTCTGGGGGGTGGATGCTGAATTCACATGCGCAGTCAATCTATTTCGTATTGACCTAATTCTCTCGATATCGTCACCAACAGTCACCTCTCCTGTTGCAGGCTCTTTTCCCCATTCTCCTTTTGTTGGTTTAGGAATTGTTGAACAAATGTTTCTTATCATCTTGTATGTTAATGAAATATCGAAATCACTATATCCAGAATTTTTTGCTTTTATCAAAAGGTCTTCTTGATCAGAGTTCAACTTCAGATCTCTTCTCTTTTTGTTTGATAATGAATTCACCTTGCTCTCAATATAGCAGGGAGGTACTTCTGATTCTAGAATATCTCTGTATGCCTTATTCAACACATCATTTGTTGCCATTCCAAGTTTAGCAAACCTAGTTCTACCTTCTAACTCTTGTGCAGAGGCCTTTAGAGTGCTGGAATCACCCAACTTTCCCTGAAAAAAAAACAGTTTAGTATAGTATTTGTAATGAATATAATGAATCAAAAATACAAACAAAAAAACAAAATATCTTAAAGATTATTTCATGTTCTCAAAGCAAATCTATGACTGTGCAATAGTTTCTATAAGTATTTTATACAAATTATATAAAAATTTAACAAAGTTCTTTTTGCTCTTTAAAATTTCAAAAGATTAAAAGATTGTATCAGTAATATTTAAACTGGTTTCCCATCGTTGTAGAACATGTCAACAATACCCAAACAAACAAGATAACGTTGAGGTGATGTCCATCTTAAAAGGCCACGTGCTTTAAATTAAATGTGGAAACGAAGAACAAAGGGTCATGGAAGGTTAAGAAAAAGTGGAAATGTTATGTTAAGATAAAAATTAATTATGTGTCAACTCTGAAACAAATGATGCTGCGGACATTAATACATAATAAATATTAAACAAGAGGCCCAGGCCTGAGCACATCGGTTTAAGAAAAAGCACAGATCAGATCAGAACTGAAACGTTTACTGAGGTGGTGGGGGGTCTTGAATTTTAACACCCCTCCCCCCCAGGGGATCATGATTTGAACAAACTAGAATCTACACTACCTGAGGATGATTCCATATAAATATTACTAATCATGGCTTTGAAGTACTTGAAAAGAACATTTTAAAAGGTTTCCCTATCTATTCCTATGTAAAACTTTGGTGGCCCATTGGGGGGGGGGTGTCATGATTTGAACAAGTTTGAATCTACACTACCTGAGGATGATTTCACATGAGTTTCATCTTTCCTGTCTCACTGGTTCTTGAGAAGAAGATTTTTAAAGATTTTTCCTTAATAATCCTATGTAAAAATATGATCGGCCATTTTGGCCCCTTCCTACCCCCGGGGGTCATGATTTGAAGAAATTTGATTCTACACTTCCTGAGGATGAATTCACATGAGTTTCGTCTTTCCTGGCCTATTTGTTCTTGAGAAGAAGATTTTTTTTAAATGCCATTAATTTTTTTCTAATTCATAATTATCTCCCCTTGGAAAAGAGCGTAGCCCTTCATTTGAACAAACTTTAATCCTCTTTACCCAAGGATACTTTGTAGCAAGTTTGGTTGAAATTTGCCCACTGGTTCTTGAGAAGAAGATGAAAATGTGAAAAGTTTACAACGACGACAAATTTAACGCACTTTCAAAAAAAAAAATTCAAAGTGCGTAATTTTGCATAGTGCGTTGTAACACATTCTCAACAACTCTGTCATACCGCTCTAAATCACTGTAATGCTCCCCTTTTTTGTTTTTTTTTCTTTGCCAAAGTGCCAAGTCACAACATTTATTTAATAGATCTAACTAGACATGTTCAAAGTTTGTGTATAATATTGGTCAAGATTAAATTGGTTGACTGATAAATTATGTTACAGCGTAGTGCAAATTTAAAATACTTGCCATATTATTTTTCAATCCCAAAATTTTTAACCTATACCAACTTAATCAATTAAAATTTCATTTCACACAAATTATGCAAGATAGTGATAACCATTGTGAACCAGAAGTCAGAACTCTTCCTATTAAATATATATGTTCATTTGTTTGTGACAATGATTTTATCCAAAATGACTTACGTCGAGTATTATGGACACATGATACAAACAAATATTTGTCAAAAAAAATTGAACATAACAATTTGAGTCAAGTTTTATTGAGTAAACAGAACAAGTTTCACGGCTAAGTTATATTTTTTTTCATTCAAATTTTCACAAAAATGGAATTTGAAAAATATTTCTATAGATTAAGGATGGTTTCAGAGAGGCAGAATTTTGAGCATCATAGAAGGTTTACAATTTCTTAATTTTTTAGAAATTTATTATATGCATCATTTTCATTGAAAATAGGCCAAAAAATATATACATATCCAGGCATCCATTTTTGTTTGTATCATCTATCCTTAATGTAATCAAATCATGGTGTTATTTTCAGTTCAGAAGTGATATCGATTTGGATATCTATATATTTTTGTCACATGTAGTTATGTATATTGGCACGTATACTGGCACGTATACGTTGACATTATTCAACCAATTCGATTTTTTGCTGGGACCGGGTTTGTAATGATATATTATACAAATGTAATTACCTTTTCCCAGAAACCCAGAGTCCTTTGAACATTTATCACATGTCTTTCAAGAAGTTGACACTTGCACTGCATTTCTTCAGATTTGATTTTGGAGAGCTCGCTTTCAAGAGTGAAAGATACATCATTCTCATTACAAATAATGTTTTGGCATTTGAATCCTTTATGGAAAATGTTTGTGCCAATAAAAGTTTCTGTCAATTCTTCTATGGCATTTTCAAGGAAACCTCCGATTTCAATTGATACTTTTTTATTTATAGCCAATGGTTTGATTTGCATCACTTGCATTTGAATTTCATCATTACATATGCCAACAACAACAGTGTGTTCATTGTGATCAAACACTGCTGCTGTTTGATAAAGACATAAACTTCCTTCATGATCTCCATCATTTGAAACATTCCATTTCAGAAACCCCATGCAATATGCTACCAGTCTGTAGAACACAAACATGGCAAAAGAAGTGAACCGATAGCACAAAATGGAGGAGCATTCCCATTTATCTTCACAAAAGTTGGCTTGAAACTGCTTTTTGTTCATGCATGGGATATACCATGACATGCCACCTTCTGATACAGCCCCAGAGGACTCCAAAGGTACCAGCATTTGAAGCTTCTCCATGTAAGACATAATTTCAATTTTGTGTGTCAAATATAAGGGTTCATCTTTCCATAGTGCATTTACCACTTTATCTTTAAGTTCTCCTGTTTTGTTAAAGGATTTCCACTCTTTGATTAATCTTGTTTTGCAGTCTTTGTTAATGTGATTCTTATCAGCAATAATCTTACTGAAAGCTTTGGCAAACCACTGAATGTCTAGTACTGCATGTTCCCTCAATTTCTCATCTTGAAAATACAAAAGAATGCCATTGTCATGGAAACACTTCAGAAACCTAGACATTTCCTCATCACTTTTAATTTGGTATTCATCAGGAAGGGATGAGTTGAGCCTCCTAATTTCCTCAAGGGACAAAACTTTCCACCCTCCTTCATATAATAACTGTTCCATTAAAGCCCATGAAGAAGGTATTTCAATTTTTGTATTGGTCTCTTCTGTAAATAGTTCAACTATGGACTTTTTAATTAATTCCAGCTTTGTCTTTGTTTCATCATTTAGTTCAACTAGACCCACAGCATAATCACGATCATTCAGAGACTCACTTAACCATTCCCTGTCCTCGTCTGGCACAGCATTCCAGAAGTCTTCAAAGAACTTCTCTATTTCCTGAAGAAGCAAACAAATAGTCTAACAACACTACATCAGGCCCATGAGCTACAAAGCTAGTCTAAGTCTAATTGGCCTATGAATTCCAAACTATAATATTAAAAATATATCTTTATATTTCTAAATATTTCTTATCCCATATTATGGCTATTTACTAGCTATAAATGGCCCACATCGCTCAAAGGATTACAATATAACCAGACTAATAAACTTGAATCAACATTTGCTAAGGATGCAACTTATTATTAATCTGACTAACTTTGCCAAGCTGCTCGCAGAAGTAAACATGCATTGGGTAAAAATTGCTCCATAACTTTGACTTCATCATGCTTTTTCTGACGTTAGAAACTTTTAAGAAACATGAGGCCCATGGGCCTTATAGGTCACTTAAGTATCATGTAACAACCAGCTGTGCACCTCAACCCAAAGGAACTTTTAACCCTGGGGCCACATATTTCAAAATTTTGCAAATATAATCATAAAATGGTTGTTTAATACCAAAGAGCAGATTTCAAAGCATTAATTTATTGTCAGGCTATGTATCTCCCCTCCTCCGACCTATGGGGGCATAAAAAATTGCCATTTAGCTATGGGCACCTTTCTTCATTATAAATATATATACTTGGATCATTGGCATAAAACCCTGGAGCAGAGAAGATTTTCAAAGAACTAATGCATTTTCATTATATTATCAATAGAGGCCCGCCCTACAACACGAATCCCTGACCCCGGGGTCATAAACATCACAATTGAAAACTTTGGTCAGCAATTTTGGCTCCACCCTCCCCCCAGGGGTCATGATTTGCACAAACTTGAATCTACACTACCTGGACATGCTTCCATATAAATATGATGAATTATGGCTTTTTCATTCTTGAGAAAAAGATTTTGAAAGAATTTTCCTATATATTTCTATGTAAAACTATGGTCGGCCATTTTGGCCCCACCCTACCCCTTGGGGTCATGATTTGAACAAACTTGAATCTACACCACCTGAGGATGCTTCCATATAAATAAGATGAATTATGGCTTTGTCATTCTTGAGCAGATGATTTTTAAAGAATTTTCCTATATATTGCTATGTAAAACTTTGGTCGTCCATTTTGGCCCCACCCTACCCCCGGGGGTCATGATTTGAACAAATTGAATCTACACCACCTGAGGATCTTTCTCCATAAGTTTCATCTTTCCTGGCCCAGTGGTTCTTGATAAGATTTTTTAAATATGTCACCAAATTTTCATTTATTATACAATTATGGACTCTTTTAGTGTTGAATATGGTTTGTTATTCACCAGAAAAATGTTCCTATTGACCGAGGCAAAGCCGAGGTCAATATAGATATTTTTCTGGTGAATAACACACCATATTCAACACCAAAAGAGTCCATAATTGTTTTATTATATAGTCGGGATTTGAAGAGATAAGACATTGAAGGCTGAATGACGACACTATTTTCATTTGCAATCTTCCATTCTTGAAAATGAATAAAAATCTCCAGATTACTTTTTGTAACTTCTGTGTTTGTCCATTCTGAATTTCGCTATGTGTAAGACGTCCAAATGTTAAAAAATATTCCTGAAATAGGTTTGAATGATTGTTTTCCTGCTCAGATACGTAGCTCGCTGTGGCCGTTGCAACTTATGTTTACGAAGTTGTTTGATGTTTTGATTGTGATGTTACAATGCCGTTGCAGGCGCATTGACCCTTCAGTGAATACGGCCTAAAATCCAGTGAATATATAGTGTTATAAACTGTTTGCGTTTTTATAGATTATAAAAGGACTACAGTCCCTGAAACGTTCTACTTTCCCATTTTTCCGTTCGCTCACCGTTCGTTCACCGTTCGTTCAGCGTGCGTTCACCGTTCGTTCAGCGTGCGTTCACCGTTCGCTCTCCGTTCACAATTTTGCGTTCACCGTTTACCGTGCGCTCGCGTTCACCGTTCACAAAACGTTCACCGTTCGCTCTTCGTTCCGTTTAGTTTGCGTTCACCTTGCGTTCACCGTTCACTTATCGTTCAGTCTTTATTGTCATTCGGAACTCCGAAGTGAAAGGACTTATCTTTTTGATGGTAAGGATTGACACGTTTTTTAATTAAATAACTAAGATATCGTGTTTGAAGAATAATTATTTAAATGTAAAAAGTATCTACGATATACATATTTCTATTATTATAACTTAGCTGTTACTTTATCCATTTTTCCCTGGAAAAAATACATTAAGAAAATACATGTAAGTAGAACGATGCTAAAATATTAAATTTAAATAAGGGCAATGTCCCTAAACAAATACTTAAAGCGCCGCATTTCGTTATAATATAAAAGACGACAAAAAATCGTTAATAGATGAATAATAATCCAAGTCTTTTAAAAGACAAGAATACACAAAAATATGTCTAACAAGTTTTTAAAGAAAAAGTAAACAAAAACATGCTAGAACTATATATATGTCTGAGAATTATGAATAGTACTACAGATATTCAGTTAATTAAATATTTGTAGAGCGAATTAAATTGTTAGTGTGATTTTAAATTTTAGAAAAGACAAACTGTTTAAAATTTAATACAATAGAATTTTTGGTTCTTCATCACGTATATAAAGTGTATCATTACAAAGGAAAAAAACCTTCCTTCAAGTAACTAAATATACGTTTGCCATTCAGTATGCTTAACAGCCCCCACCCCCCACCCCCCCCCCGGCACCCTTTCTACCGAAATCAAATTCTTAGTTAGTATTTTCAGTATAAATTAATTAATATTCAATGTGTATTGTACATGTAACACAGAAAAAAATTATTCTTTATACAAACATCAAAACAGTCATTATATACATACATGTGCCGACAGTGGTATTTTGATTTGGCAGGGATTATGTTTTAAATTCAATTTCAAACTTAATCCTTCCAGGTATATACACGTATTGCAATTATTTATTCATTTTTTCCGTAGAAAAGCGAAAATCAATTTTAAAAATGATGTAAACAAAATGTTAAAACGTCTCGGGAATAGGAAGTGACTCTTTGACTTCGGCATGTTCGGTGAAGCGAGATTTAAACACCTCCATTGTGTCGAATTATTTTGATTGACAGGACAAGCACGTGCACTTGGAGTGAATCGTTTGAACTTGAAGGGAAAAAAAACGATGCTTACTGTCAAATGGATTTGTTAATCAAAAAAAAAAAAAGATTACTTTGACTGCCTGGAATATTAGAGAAAAAAAATTAATATATGAATTTTTGTTCGATGCAACAAATCTCTATCGCTTTTACATTTGTCATGTTAAATAAAAACTATGACAACATATTTATTATTTATTTAGTTCTGAAATTCTAATGTATTACAAATAATTTGAATGCTTCTATCCATTATCTTGTCCGAGTATAATCATGGTCGGGAAATGTCTTCAGATATACATTTACATGTAAAACTTAGCTTAGAAAATAACCAGACAAGATAAAAATAACTAATAAATATATAATATCATTGCATAAAAAATTTTAATACGAGTGAATGGTGCAATATGTCAACAGACCTTTATAAATTAATAAAAAAAAAATCGGTATTTTACACGGAATCGCCGTGACATCGAAATATATATCATTTAGTTTTTATCTAATAATTCATTCTGTAAGTGTAGTAGTTTTCTTTTCTGAAGTCCACATTATCTTAATAGTCAAAAGAATAAGCAGATTTATTTTATTAGTAAATTAATTTTATCTTTTATACGACAGGTGTTCGGTAAAAAACACACATGTTTTACGGCAAAAAAAATCGTGTTATTAAAATATTGATTTAAAACATCATACGTATGTGTGAAAAATGTTTTAATTATTTATTCAGTTATTTATTAAATGTTTATTTATATTTTAGCATCTAACATTAGAATATAACAGAATAATTTAAATGCAAGGAAAAAATCTGAGGCATTCCGAATAAATCGTTCATCTTGCGTTCACCGTTCGTTCACCGTTCACCGTTTGCGCTCCGTTCGCGTTCTGCGTTCACTCACCGTTCTCCGTTCACACATCGTTCACCAAGTTGCGTTCAGCGTTCACACACCGTTCGTTCACCGTTCGCTCTGCGTTCGTTCACCGTTCGTTCACCGTTCGTTCAGCGTTCGCTCACCGTTCAGGTGGGAAAGTAGAACGTTTCAGGGACTGTATGAATACACTATATAATAATCCCAATTATCTCCCCTTGAATGAGGGCGTGGCCCTTTATTTGAACAAACTTGAATCCCCTTTACCCATGGATGCTTTGTGGCATGTTTGGTTGAAATTGGCCCAGCAGTTCTTAAGAAGAAGTAAATAATGTGAAAAGTTTACAGACAGACAGATAGCTAGAGAAAGCTCACTTGAGCTTTCAGCTCAGGTGAGCTAAAAAATGTGTATGACATTGTCAGTATTCTTGCAAATCCCAGGCACTCCACTTTTTTGCAAAGATATAAATGATATACAGCATATGCATTGAAAATTTGGATTAACCTTTAGAATGGTTTATCTCCCACAACTTTCAATTAAATATTTTACCGACCTTCTAGTCGTCTTCTTGTTTTCATTGAGAGTAAATCAATACATGTTTATTAATAAAATGTTTTTTGAAAGATATACAATTGCAGCAAATTAAATTCTCTCCATTATTAAAATCAAAGTCCAGAAATTTTGATTGATAGAAAACATTTTTTTTTTCCCAAAGTCTTTCAAAATGTTTTGATTTTGGTCCAACTTTAAAGTACATTGAAATATTTTTTCAAAGTGCATTGCCATACCCAACCTACCCCAA